TGTGTTAGGTCCTCCTTAGTACAGATTGAATTCTATCGACCAAGTTTTAATGTGACCACTGGACTAGATGAATGGAAATCGCGTGCACTATCTCATCTCAACACAAATATACCGTTTTGCATGGCTGATTAAGATTATCAGCTACAGTATTTTTCCATACATACCGTTTCAATATTTAACCTTTCTCATTATTATTGTTACCACAACTATTTCGTCTTCTTTAACATTTACATCTTTCATTTCATTTCACCGTGTTGATGGGATATGATAAGTTAAACTAAAGTACATTTGTCACAGACTTTATATCGATTCTAACTCACTGATAATTTCGCTCAAATACCTTAAACTTTGACGATTATTTCCACAGATTTTATATGTAATATACGTTCATAATTTTTAATTTTATTCCTTATTAATAAGGATTGAAGTTGAAACTACCTTCAACCATTATTACAAAATATTCTAAGGAATAAAAAGTATAAATTCATTTATACGTATTTCTATTTAGACGATAAGACTCCCATAACTTATGCAATATAATACTGCGGTGAACAGAACACGGGTGGGAACAATCGAATGTATGTAGCACAACATTACAGAGTTACTTGGTAAAATAGAAAAACCATATGGTAAATTGTTAATTTGCAAAATATCAATCCATCATATCAACCTGGACTGTTCCTGTTGCAAACATCAATCGATTGTCTCACATTTCATTGTTCATGCGGTTTCTTACAAATTGCATTGTTTTCTCGCTCTTCCTTTCTTGATCTTCCCCCATCTTCTGCTGCCAGACATTACGTTCCTGACTCGCGTCATATACTACTTACATCAATATAAGTAGCACGCACCACACTACTTACCTGATTTATTTGTAAAGAAAATTATGTAGTTCATCATTTAGCTTAAACAAATTTATTTAAAATGATTATTTGTTATGTCAGAATCATCATGTGCTCACTAGTGATTAGCTTCAAGAGGTATTTCCTGAAGTTCTAGTGAGAAGTAGTGACCAGTGGAGTTCAACCAGGTCTGTTATGAGATTGTAACTCACTGAAAACAATGATGGACGTTGGTGCAATTTCGTGGGTTGGTTAAAGGTAGACATTAACATCGTTGGATGCCGGCTCAGTTGTCTAAAGGTTAAATGTTCGTGAGCGATACCAATAGGCCGGCTAGTGCTCTCAGTTTTTCCATGGTGGTCTAGCTTTAATTGACTCATAATTTCAACTATTCAGTCAGTCAGTCAGGAACAACGTAGAACTTCGTACGTACGTACATCAGTTCGAGTTGCCACACCACATTAGCACAGAGATGCACTTGTCGATTCAAATCCCGTAATCGTAGAGGTAGTAAGAGTATAAGCAGTAATCGGGAAGATTAGGGTTTGGAGATGTTATTTAAAGAGTATAATCCAGTGAAATAAATTTGGAAAGAGGAAAAAAGGGACATGAAGAATTCAGATTAGAATTTGGGAGAACACAAAGAGTGGATGCACCTGCGTCATTGCAAACGATTTTGAGCCATGTCATTCAGGGTCTCTAACCATCGGTTGCTATCATCTCGCGGTTCCCAACCAGGTAGTCTACACCTACCAACATGACTCAATCCACTTGTCAGTGACTTCATGGTTTTGTGCCATGTTTTGGTTTGGCCGCCCCTAATTTCAACTATTAAATTACTAAAACTCTCCACAAAACCCTCTTCTGATATTTACTATATGTTGATCAGTATTTAATAACCAATCATACTTCGAAAAAAGTAAACCTATAAAACTTTAAGAATCAGTAAACAATTATCCAAAAAAACAAAAAGGGAAAAAGGCTCCAAACATATTTGATTATTATTATTATTATTAGCTTTATTCAATATTATATTATTGGTACAATATAGAATTCTCAGCACAAAGTATTTCAACAAGTTTCCGTTTCTGTCTTCTTGGTCGGTCCTCGCGATAAATACTGAGTGATCGCCAGCTAGATGTTAACAGTCCAGTAAATGAACATCTGAATAATGTACATTCTTTTCGTTGTATATTGCCAGCAACAATATTCTCTCTTTTTGAGCTTTTTGTAACTTTGACAACGAAAGGTTGTACACTTTTCAGAAACGCAGCAGAATAGGTTGTGCGATTAATAGACATAATGATATATTAAAACAAACAAAGATAGATAACTTGTCGAAATATCTAGATGGCAGGAACAGGTAGCCCAGATGCTCAAGCAGGCCGCCTTGTACATATCTTTGATATTATTGCTAAACAATTTAATATCGATTTTCTTTGGAAAGGGATACAAATCTCATGATGAAAATACAAAATCTAACAAATATTCATTGGAAATGATTAACTAATGGAAAATCAATCAAACAGATCTATATTACCGTTGTAGTATTTTACATAAATCTAATAAAAATGTCACTTGACATTATAAATAATAATGATTATTTTGTAGTAGAAAGATAAACATAAGGAAATGAATATGACAAACAGACTGTGACAAACAAGGGAGTCCAAGATATGTATCTCGACCCATTTGGGACTGGTCAGTCGAATGGATGTACATCTCATTGTTAATGTTTACATTGTGACTTGAATTCAGTACCTTGTAATTCAAAATACAAGTAATTATTTTTCGATTTCCCTTGGATTGTTATATTTAGAAAATACCCATCATATGGATATAGTCTAAAAAGTTAAAATGGTTAAGAAAGTAATCGGTTGTCATAAACCAGAAATAGATAAATCAGTATGAAACTAAATGGCAAAGATGACAGTACCATATCGATTAGTTGTATGCATTCTAATATAAATTACTAAAATATTATCCATTTAAAATGAAATAACATTGAAGTCAAAAAGAGATTGGACAAATATCATGCATACTGGGTAGTATCATGCTTAATAAGTGAAATTAATGCTTTTGTTTATGACCACATTAATTACCAAGATGATGAACGGTAAACGAAAGCAGACACATTGAGAAAATAGTGTTGTTTGGTTGAGATTGTTCTTGGTTCTGAGGTATCCATTTGAATAGACGTGAAACCGTTGTGAACAATAATCAGTAATATATCTAAAAGCATTATGCCTACTACGAGACTCGAAAGTTCCGCATTCGATCCTGTATCGAATAATGATGGTGCACCTTTAAGAGGTGTAAAACGAGTGCAAAATACCTACTAAGTTATTCCTGATTTTGAACAATTCTATAGTTGACATCACTACGTGATGGAAATTAAACTAGAAATATATTATTTAACACTGGAAATAATTTATCATATCTAGTAAATAATAAAACAGAAATTCGAGTGATGTTATTCTCATTGAGAGAGTCAGTCAGTTAGTTGTCAACGTAGGTTCAGAGACTAGTGAGATAGCTACAGGTAAACAGGAAATTTTCTGAATCAATTGTTAGAAAATCCTTTATATGATATAATCAGTAAGAAAACCTAAAAATGTTTACATATACAAACCAGATAGTTAGTTGTTGTGCAGCATCTAGGACGCCGTATGATTATATATCTGTCTAAGTTGCCACACGTGACATTACCATAGCGGGAAATACTAGTTTTCTTATCGATTATAAAAGAAATCAAATCAATGATTAGACTTGGTACAATGTGTTTATTTTTTTTCAAAGGTTTAAAGCTGATAGGTGACATGCTATAAGAATACAAACGATAATATAGTAAAAAATATGTATGTTTATATCAAGATGCATGTAAGAATATAAAGCGAGAATTCAGTTGACCTTTGAACAATATTTTCGTCCTTAAGAGAAAGATTGAAAAAAAAGTAACTTTTTAAACCTTTAAATTTCATTGATTTTTCGGTTTGATATTACTAAGGGCACAATAAATTTCATCGAACTATGCTAACTATCTATCTACATTGCTATGTAGTGAATTCATTGTACCGATGTTTTGGAAATTACTATTGGGTAAAATGATGATCAATATTTTCCTGTAGTGTTATTTTGATGTATATTAGAATGATAATGAAATTTAGTGTATCCGTTTAAAATTTTGTATTAAAATGACTGAGCTTATTTATAACCAAGTGTCAGTTTTCTGACATACAAACCCTTTATAAAACTGGGTCGATTGTTTTAAATCCATCATTGCTCAGACTAGAACCCTATTCCATCTATTTTCGCTTAGACAATCGGATAGTAACACGAACCTCCAAACAAAAGCAGATTATATTTAAAGATGTACTTAGAAAATGTGTCATATTGAAAATTAGTTATTAGTAAAATTTATTTTGAAGAAATGATTTACATTCAATTACAAGACGTTAGTAATGCAATTTTCTACTCATTAGGATACTACTACTATATATATAATCTTTTAAACATGTTATTAGGTATTGTGATCAAACAAATCAATCTAAATTGAATAGAAATGGCATACTTTATCGAAGGCAAATGAAACGTAGAATAAGAGTGAAATTTAATGAGTTTTTTTCTCATAAACTCCTGGATGACAACTAATCAGCATACAAAAAATATGTTAATGCTGCAATAGGTTAGTTAAATTGTTTGTACAAGTTGAATGGATCTTTCTTTTTTCACATGTTCATATTGAACACATTCAGGATTATGATGTTTATTTTATCTTGTCTGAACAAACAAAAACAAAATAACGAAATTACATATTTCCAAGTTAACAACAACAGTATGTTAAGCTTTCAGGCAATGACACTTTATAAAAAACTGATAAATTGATAAGATTAGAGTAAGAGGAAAAACTGAAGTTGTTTTTCTACAAACAACTAATTTCATAAAGAAAAGAAAAAAAAAGAAAGAAATGATTCGATTCATTCTCAATCTTCTCCAGCAGTTACTACTCACCAGTATGTAAAATTAATGATAAAAAATAATTACTCTTATATTAATTAATATCATTAAATTATAAATTAGATTATACATAAACAATGTCAATGCCAAATTGAATAAAAAGTACTCGTTGGATGATTTGAAATCAAAAGAATATACGCTTAATAGTAATAATAATAATAATAATAATAATAATAATAATAATAATCCAAGTTTAGCTTATTACACTATACAACACAATTAAAATTTTAGTTGTTTACTGTTTAAAACAATACAACTTGTACAATATTCAATAATAGATTCAATATAGTAAAAGATTTTGTAAAAGAAAATTTTTGCTTCTTTTCTATCAACTATGCATGACATATAATGGTATATTATTATCACTGGATTTAACAATGAATAGATCAGATTACATATATATAGAAAAAGAAAGAAAGAAACTCACAATAGAGAAAAAGAGGATGAATAATGGCGAATACTTGTTTCATAGAGATCTTTTTCTAGATTTCTCATCATTATCATAACAATAAGACATATTATGTTTATACATATACATTAACGGGATAAATAAGAGAAGGCAAATTAGGTGAGAATGAGAATGGGGTATAATGACAACCGGATATAAGAAATTAGATAATCTTTTAGGTGTTCTGTTTTCAACGATTGATGATCATTTTTTTCCTTACAAATCTGTGTATATCTCATTATGTAACATGGTTGTTGTCGTTGTTATTTTGATTCTGATCATAATATTTATCAATTCAATCCATTGCATATGAGACAATTGCCATTGAAGTCAAACCAAAAAACATAAGAGTTAAATGAATAACTGATTCCCTAAAAATAACAGAAGGCATAATGAATGAGTTATATATATGATTCAAAAGTTAAATATATAATAATTGAGAGTTTGTAAAAGTATTAGTGCGATAAAGCAGTAAGTTAAGAAATATCAAAAAATATTTTAGTAAACATTTTATTTTAGTTATGTTTCTAAGAAAGAATATATGCAAATTAGTTTACTTAGCGATTAAAGAAGGGTTGATGATAACAGTTTTATTCAATTTCCTTTGATTATAAAATCAGATATGAAAAGGATGAATAATAACTGGAAAGAGCTGGAAAGAATTGCCCAGGACAGGGTTGGATGGAGAATGCTGGTGAGAGGCCTATACTCCTTCACAAGGAGTAACAAGCGTAAGTAAGTTATAAGCTACACTTCTTTGAGTTTTATTTATAGTCAGAAGGGGTTTTGTGAAGATTTTAGTAATTTTATAGTTGAATTCAGGAATCAACTGAAACTAGACCACCATAGAAGACCTGAAAGCGCTGGACGGCCGTTTATTTACAGATTAAACCCGGGTTGTTTAAACATAGAAAAAGGCTGATATATTAAAAAAAAGTTCAACATTTTTAGATATCACAACTTTTTATTAGATGAGTGTACAGTTTAACTTAAAAGCTAATGAATAATTATGAAGATATAATTTTTGATTAGAAGTTTTAATAACCCTAACTTAGAAGAATTTCATTAAAGAGAGAATTGGGCATATATTATTTAAAAATCCCTATAGACTATTGAAAAATGAAGAATATTTGAGCGAACAATTGTTTTCAATAAATTCATCATCAGGCTCTACAGTTATAAGTCCATAATTATGATATTTTAATAACGCCAAAATAAGGCATGTATTAATGAATTTGACAATGTTATACGTTAAAAATGTCACCACGTTTGCATCTGTTACGACATATATACTTCAAAATTGTATTATTTGCAAATTAGATAGGTTATTCAATAAAGGTCAGGATGATTTGGAGTAAAGTGTTCAGTCACACTAATTATTATAGCAAAGTTGAAAATGCAAAAAATTGTGTGAATAAAATGCATACTAGAAGAATTTAATCTTGTCAATTGAGATAATAATAATAAGATTGTTGTGTGAATATAATATGTAATAAGGGGGGGTTGTTATCAAGGTAATTACGACAAACGAATTGGGAGTGATGGATGTGAAGATTAAGATAGAGATAATAAAAAATAATGATAATAAGGAAAATAAATAAAAATAAAGGAAGGGGGTAAGAGGTTTATAATATTCAGTCTAGGTATTCGGTGATCCAGTCGTAGGTCAAGGTAAACAAAGAGACTGGGTATATTTTTTCTGGATTCATTAATTTGGTCTTCTGGAGTTGATCCAGATGGCTTCGGCTATGTAAAGCAGTCGTAATCTGGCTCCTTGAGGTAGATATTTTGGAACTTGATATAAAACAGAGAGAGTTTCCTCTATTTTTATATGATGTTCACTATCTACCAAGTGAGAAAGAATGGTGCTGTTAATCGATTTGGTAAGTCCTTTTCCCAACCAAGCTGGTACATGTTCTAATTTCTAATTTGCAAATGATACAATTTTAAAGTATAAATATATCGTAACAGATGCAAACGTTCACCATTTTTAACACATAACATTGTTAAATACATTAATATATGCTTTAATTTTGGCCTTTGTAAAATACTATAATTATGGACTTATAACTGTAGAGCCTGATGATGAAGTTATTGAAAACAATTGTTCGCCCAAATATTCTTCATTTTTGAATATATTATTAACATTAGTTGAAATTATAAAGTTTCTACAACTTACTTAAATGATAATTCTTTTAAAATATCAGGCAGAAGAGAAACCAATGCAATGTATAGAAAGCCACCGGCAGTAAATGGAAGTATCCATTTTGTTGTACAACCTGTAAAGTTGAAGAAAATCACATTATGGAAAATTCCAAATAAATAAATAGACTATGAAGTATATATAGATAATGATAATATTGATTAGCGTATAATTAGATGATAGATCAGATTACTATCAAAAATAGTTGGTTTATATTATATAGGCAATGTGTTGGATCACAGACAAGAACTTAACAACTGTATTTCAATGCTTTCCATCAGTATCACCAAAGTAGAGTACATATGAAATATATCGGAAAAGTACAAACTATGGTAGAAATACGGGAGAAATTAAAAGCCTTTCCTTAACTTTTGAATTATTTGTCTTAGTTATCAGATGTAGTTAATGTTTATAGTTTCCAGTATTTATAATAAGTTTACTGATGCATATATAAAATAAATTTGAGTTCAATGGCAGAAGTATAAAAAGTAGCTCACCAATTAACAAACTGCTTTGTTTTGGGTATCCAGGTAGAAACCCAGTCCACACAAATATTTATGATGATCATCAACAATAATGAAACCTAGATGCTATGACAATTCCAAAAATTATACATTGAAATCTGTTCTATTTAGGATTATTTAGTTACTTAATATAAATTGGGTTATTATATTCTATTTAAATGTTGAAATACTTCAAAAAACTAATAAACTAAGCATTTTAAGGTGCTTTATCAATATACATTAGGGAGACATTCATTTAGTTAGCAAAAGCAACAATATCACGCTTATATAAATGTATAAAAAATAAGCAGAGATCGAGTAAGGACGCGTCAGTTAGTTGAGTTGTCTGAAAAATCTAAAACCTGTGATAATGAAAGTGACTTTTCAACCTTAAGTTTCCGGAAAATTTCATCGAAATATGAAATGGTAAACAAGCGAATTAAACAGCACTTGTTCTACTTGATGTCAGCACTATAATTGGTTGATCAAATTACGACAAGATTAAAAGTGTCCGGAACCTGTGGGCATCTTTGAATAACACGTTGTTGAAAACAGTTGTGTAAGTAATTGTGATAGTATGACTAGTGAAATAAAATCCTTTATACTATAAATCAGAAAAAGTTGTGCTAATCTGTATTATTATCGCGATGTTAGTTTGGTTGTAAAGATTTGGTGCAGGAAGTACTTCTAGGTGAATGTGAGATCTATACTCCAAACTGAAGATTTTCAAATGTAGTTGTCTCATAAGAGATGGTCCAATTTGGACACTACGTCGGGTAAATAGTTCTAAGGTACAGCGAAAAGTGTTTCAGCTTATCGGGATCAATATTTAATCGTTGAAAGTAGTTTAAAACACTGGTTTCGGTGATTTGAGAACGTTTTACGTACAACATTTATATGATCACCATAGACAGTGTTGTTTGTTACATCAGAATGAGTAGAAAAGACAAAGATAAGTCAAATAATGAGATGGCGTAAGAGAAAGCTAGATTTTTCCATCAGAGTGACATCATCTAACGAATTATAACCTATTACATTCGATCACAGATACCATGCTACTAGTTGCTTTGAGTTGACTCCAGTTATGTTTTGAATTCAAACTCAATGTGGAACCTGTGGAAGCTTTCTTTCCTAGTTTAGTTAAACAATAAAGTGTACCTTTCGATAAACAAAATATATGTTTAGCAATCCTAAACATCAATAAAAAGATTCAAACAACCAATACAAAAATGAATTAAAATATATCTTGGTTATTTTTTTTCATTTGCACTATAATAATAAACATAAATATTCTTAATTCGCCGTTACTTTTTGCACAAGGATATTTCCTTAAATTGTGCGCAGGAGTTTTAGGTACTTCAGGACCTCAGATTTATTATAGGCACTCTTTGTGCCAGGTTCTACTTTAATATGTTCACGTGTCACTCTATCAAGTTTTCAGGATAAAAATATAGAATTTATGGTAATACATTCCAACTTTCTATGAACTAATATCAATGTTTTGAAGTTCCGTACATTTGCACTAATATATATAAGTCTGAATATTCGTCATACTTTGAACAAATAGCTCGATTATTACCCTGAAGAAGTTCAAACAAGTTTGCTGTACGCAATGTTGAAGTTATTAAGACTTCAATTGCTGAAATTATTTTGAATACAATTTTTATAAATAATTGAATTCACAAATTATTTGTATCGGTTATTTGAATAATCCCGTTGATGCTATGGACTGCAATAGATCGGTCTCGTCTGGGATATATGCATCATCTGAGGATTGTCTCGATATTGTCATTAAGTATGATCAAGACTGATCGACTGCAGTTCATAATATTAATGAGAAGATTAGAACAACCAATACAAATTAAATTAAAATTATTACTCATTGTACAAGCCAGTGGCTATCTAGGCTCGGTAGCTAAATGCATAAGACGTTGTTCATTGGAAGCGAAAGATAATGGGTTCGAACCCTGGTGTGAACATCAATAATGGAACTTGACAAATACCTCCAGTTGACGAACCCACAATGAGACGAACTATGTGTTTTGGATACCATTGTTAGCCAACACATTTAACTCTGCTTAAAAAACCGTACTTATAACAAACAGTTAAATTTACATAAAAACTATAAAATAATACTATTTCTCTATCTTACACAACGTAAATCTAAACATTAGTTACAACAGTCTATTTAACATAGTTTAAATAAACTGATTGTAGCCAACGATCTAAAAAGGATACTTAATTTTGGTCGTTATTTATCATGAATTATTATCATTGTAACTGGTATAGACCATATATGTATATGTATAGTGTATTGAATATGGCCTTCATATACTTTATAGATTATTTTATTCATGTATATAATATGTAGCAATAATCAAGTCTAGTATTATTATTATCAACAATAACAATCATAAAAACTGGATATTTTGTTCATTATTCATAAAAACATATTGTTTATAATAGAATTGGAATTGAGAAATTTCAAATAAAACTTATATCAGATTCATTCAATTTAAACAGACATTAATGTTCTGTGAATTTATATAAAAATTCATTAAACAAATGAATTTACTGTACATGTATATGCATATCTTAAGATAACGCGATGGCGTTTGAAGTGAATGGTACTGGGTTCGAGTCTCAGAGTGAACATCAACTGAGATGCAGGTACATTCAGCTGACTAGTCCCAAATAGGACGAAACGCGCATCTTGGATTCCGCTGCTAGCCACTATCCATCGTTGCTTACAAATAGCTTGTGAATTAAGTTAATATCGAGGTACACGCACAGTATGCACATATGCCAATAACAGACTGATCAATTGCAGTCTTAAACCTCAATGGGAAGATACAAACCAAACAATATCAAGTGAATATCTTAAGATAGTTTTTCAATGTAATTTATATAGAATGTTTTGTTGGTTGTCCAGAATCGACTAAGACAAGGTAGAATTATTAAGAATAATTGATTTAATTTATATTGTATTACATTTCTTGATCTTAAGTTAGTGAACAAAGTTGGTAGGAAGTTTTTGATGAATTGTGATTTTTGAGCGAAATAGTACAATTGTGAAGCTCGCATTTTCTTCACTTTATAATGTTATCAACATAAACTTATTCTTTTTAAATTGGTACTTTCTAATAAGACAACGAAAACTTTTACGATTGAACTATCCAGCTCAGTTAATGTAATGACACTGAAATGTTTTGAATTTTAGAATTCGGATGGTACTTACTACTTATATTGACATAAGTAGTATGTGATGTCAGTCGCGAACAGAAAGTCTGACAGCAGAAAGACAAGAGGATCGAACGATAAAGGATTAAATTTGTATGAAAATGAGAGAAAAATGAAGTCTGGATCATTTTGAGACAATTAGTGGACATTTCGCAAATTAATCATTTACTATATGATTATTAGATTTTATTAACAAGTCCTGTAATTTCGTGTTAAATACATTCGATTCTCCCCACTGGTGTTCTTATTCACTACAGTACTAGTTGCTAAATTGTTGTCTGTGAATATCATCATTTGGCCGCATATTCAACTATATAATCTAGTTCTTTTAGATGTTTTGTACTTCGCAAGATATTACGTTAAACCTATTAATGTGAACATCAGTGATATTTGTCAGCTCTTCAGACTAGAATAGGAGAGAAAGGCGTGAGTTGTAATCTAATGGATAAAACCCGAATACATAGACTACTAATTAATAATGTATCATGAATTAGAATTCTAAACTATATAACTCGTAAAATGTGATTGGATTAAAAAGTGGAATATTTACTGAATATTTTAGAAGCAGATTACCAAACAGTTGACAATGAATTAATAATTAGCCATTATAAAACTACTAAACAGTCCCAACTAAAAGATATGAAAAGTTGGAGAAGACAGTTGTTCATCAATATGATGATTCTTTAAGTAGACTAAAAATAGAAATTATATTAGCTTTCCTATGTTATCGTTCATTTATTTTCTCAGTGAGTCAGAATTACAAACAAGTAAGCTCAACGAAATCCTGACAAACAAAATATTCAGCATGTCGGAAAGCAAAAGTCATAAAAAACGTTGGTGATTAAAATCTGATTTTATCAATTTATTGAATTTTTTCGTAGAGCAGTTATTGAATAAATGAAGTATAAAAGCATCATAAATTGTAAATGGTGCGGAGGAATTACAAATTACTTCCAAACTATCTCTGGGAGTTAAGAAAAGTTTAAAATAATTGGAATTTAGTGAATCATTCTAGCTGTATTAATACTTACCGGTTACTGAAGCATTAGCACAAAGTGTTAGAATGGCACCTAAAGTAGATCCAGATGCTGTAGCTAACTGAAACAAAAAAACGTTAGTTTATAAAGAATTTATTAGCAAGTTAATTGTTGTTAAGAATAACCTAATAAAACTCAATAATGACCCATATGTTCTTGTACTCAAATCTTGAAACAGTTTGTGTGGAAGGACTGAAGAAACTAACGGCTACCTATAATAGCCTAGTTCAAATATGTTACACAACTGTAAACGCCTTAATAAAATGAGCCACAGATACATTTTCATTAGGAAAGAAATAATGACAGGAATTATTTATTGAAGGACTAAAATAGCCCTTCACACTTAATTCGGTTAAGTGACTAGCAGTATTGATCTGACATACACAATCCTGCAAATATCGATAAACACTTAAATTGACGATTTACAATTAACACAAGGATTACTTCAGATTAACATGAATATAGTTAGGTCTGCATTTTTGAGCTGAGTCATGTATTCCAATTTAAAGCAATAGAAGTAACTAACTTAGTATCTTCGTAAAAATTCCAAAAGGCCACTTTTATTTGAAGTTGGGGTTGGCTATGGTATATGCAGTGATTATGAGAACCTAAGACTTAAAATATCTATCTTGAATAAGGTAATACAAATATTTTGGGTATACTAAACGACCATTTTCCTCCCTGTGCTATGCTGTTTAGAAACTGGCATAAACATCTGAATGGTCACATCTACTCATTGTATCAGTCATTTTAGTTTAGCTCTACGTATGACGACGTTTTAATCATGTGTAGTAACAGAGATCAGGTTGGTCAATTAACTGGGTACCTCAGTTTAGTTCATCCAGATTTAAAATTCACCTGCTGGCATGAAATCTAAAACAGGACAAATTTCTTGAACTTAAAGATAGCGAGAAAAGTAGAGGGTTCACAGTTTGTCATTTCGTTTAACTGGTGGTGACAATATGTGGGTAAAGACAACATTTGCCCAGTATCATATTGAAAAATACACTTCATTATTTCACAACTATAGAAAATAAAATTGGAACAAGATCCCCATTAAGTTTAGCTGGAAACATCTTAAAGCAACTAATCGCATGGTGTCTTTGGCCAAATGTAATAGGTCATAACTAGTAAGATGATGTTACTTTGATGGAAAAATCTAGCTTTATCTTCCGCCATCTTATTACTTGATTACTCTTTGTTTTTCTTACTCGCTCCTAAGGTTTGAAAACAGTGTTGGGCGAGGTAACTGCAAATAGATCATCCGCATAATAATTTTGAGTTAACTGTAGTTACCTTTTAGGAAGCCTGGGGTATAGCACAGAAGTAATAACATTGAAATTAAAGTCCTTAAATACATTCCTGAATGTTAATGACTAAAATATTGTCTTGAATTCATTCCAAAAGGTAAGTTATGACTAAATTGGACAATGTTTACAAGTAACCGAGGGTTGAATTAGTCTCTGATTCGTTTGATTGAAAACATACGTTATCGTAATCTTAAGAATTCATAATAAATTTTATTCATCTAATGTTATAAAGAACAACTTTGACAGGTTTTACAACTACATATTACACACATTAAAATTTTGTAAGAGCGATTCTGTTGGTTTTATCCAAATATTTTGATCTGATATTGGACGACTGGTAGCCTGTTGGTCAAACAGTGTAAGGATATTTCGAATATAATATCAAGAGAGTGTAACTTTGAGGTGCTCACGTAAAAGAACTAAATATTAAAGTTTTGTGAAATTACAAAATTCTCATTCAATTACTATAACTCATGTCAATTACTCTTTTGCATTTGCTGTAAGGGCCCAATAAGTTTCCATTTCAATTTCATAATTCATTTTCTTTTGTAAGTGATATTATCCACTTCACTGTTTAAAAAAAATAAAGACTAGAACTAATGCTTTGTATTGTAGTGAGTACGCGTCTATTCGTTGGTCAATAACGAATTAAGTGGCAAACTGAAGCCAATTGGAATAACTGATAATTAACTCGAATGAGAAACCATAAGAAATTTGTATTTTAATGATACTACAAAAGTTAGTGAAAATCTTGACTTACTTGAGCTTTAGCAGCTTCCCACCGACTGAACCCACTTCGGAGTAAAATTACAAAATCAGCCATTTCATGAGGAACTTCATGGACTAATATGCAGGTAGTCGTCAAAATCCCTAACTGAGATAGTCAGAAAAAAATACTGCCATTTATTTGAACTGATGACATTTACTAAGTAAATATATACACATATGAATTGGAAATATTTCAGAAACTCTTATATATTAAAACGAAGAGTGAAATGATAGTAAGTTAAATAAATTTCAATTCATTTTTGTATTGATTGTTTGAATCCAACTGTTCATCCAGCTGATGAGTCACAAATACGATGAAACCTACGTTCCGGGCCCAAAATGCCCTGGGATAGTCGAGGGTGGAGAAAGTCAGCTCTCCCTCTCAAAATGTTCTCATATGACCACGTGTATACAGCCACTGACAGGGAAGTTGTACTCACTGTCTTTACAGGGTGTGGGTGTTGTTTACGAAGTTGGGAGGACGAAAAGAGAATGTTTGGCGCTCTAACCGGGTTGGTGGATACGGAGGGGAATCGGAAAACCCTGATTCCAAACCAATGGTGCACATGGGCACCGCGACCCTGATTGAACAAATGGCGTATGAACCAGTAGTTAGTCACCGGCTACCATAGGACTGTATCTCCTGACGTTGCTCCACTGTCTTGTGGGTCAGACCTTTAGGTCGATGGCTCCGAGTGTGGCCCCTCTAAAAAAGCCACCTGCTTCAGTCTGGGCACCAGGGCAGTACCACATACAAATGAAATGAAATGACAATTACTACTGAAAATATTCTTGCTTCAATTAAAATTCAGACAATTCACATTCATTTTTATTTTTTTATACACTACGTCACTTATGTACTCTCTTCTACTCTCACTTTGCGTATTCTTATTTTATCAACTTATACAGCAGATCGCCTATGATGGGAGCCCTGTCCTGTCTAAATAATCTCGAGGCACTGACTGGTCAAAAGTTGAATACTACCACTGAATACGAATGCTGAAAGTCTTTCTGAAACGAGGTATACCATTCAAACTGGCTCTCTTCAACGTTCGCATATTATTGTAGATAGAAAAACAGATAGGGTTGGCTGTCTTTAGAAAGTCTTAATATTGACGTCTGTTGTCTATCCGAGACCCCTATTCAAGACTCTAGTAAAGTACTGCAAATTCGCTCTCCATCTGTAGTCTTGAAAGGCTCGTTTCACGTGCGTTTATCCGGGGACCTGTGTCATATTTGTTGGTGTTGCGCTAAGAGCTAGAGCTGAGGCAGCACTGATAGGATGGATTTCAATTAACAGTCATTTATGTGCTGTTAGATTAGAAAGTTCCATCAAAGTGCGAAATCGGTGAGAAATGCGATCAGCTACCGCTGGCGTGGTTGTATACGAGACTACAGCTCCTTTTGGAGTACCTATTTGAAAACTGATCATTCTCTCGTTTGTGCGAATCTCACTTTACGTTTCAGTGGTTAACAAATTCATCATCCTAAACGGATCGATGTTAGTAAATTGTTTGCGGATTCTGTTGCAACTAAATATCAAACCGAGCCAGGTTCAAGGCTAACTACCATCTCATCAAAAAGTATAGGTGAGCACTGGTTGTAATTGCACAACGCCATGAAAATGGTAAGTAAAATCGCTTGCGACTTCGTAAAATATCCCGCTTATAAGCACTGGGTTTCTTCAGGCTCCTTACAACCCATTGAAGCCCATCGGTCTACTCCAGGTGACCTCGAGTTTGACTATAAACGAGAACCATACAGTAAATAGTTAATTTGCAAAATATTAAACAATCGTCTCAAATTTGACTGTTCTTTAGTAAATATTATTCAGTTGTCTCAGATTTCATTGTTCATGCATTTTTATACCAACTGCGTTTCGTTTCCGTTCTTTCCTTATCAATCTTCTGCTGAAATACATTCTATGCCTGACCACTGTTATATACTACTTATATGGATTTAAATAACCTACACCACACCTATCTTTAAAAAGGGTTCACGTCGTTTCTGTAACAACTGTCTGCGGAGATAAGTCTATTTCCGACTGCTTCCAAACTATTGGCTTCGTTGTACCTCGTAGATTGTTGAAAAACCGAGAAGCAGGCTGGTTTTCGTTCTGGTGGAGGATGTATTGGTCATATCTTCACCCTCCACCAAGTGTTAGAACAGCGTTGTACTTATGCCAATCTGGGCCATCTTTGGCGCCTTCATGATGTTAGTGTAGTTGAAAAAGGTCTGATCTACAACTCGTCGGTGAGAGCAGTTTTGCTCTATGTTTGTGAAACCAAGCCTCTCTGAGCTGACTGTGTTATACGACTCTCTGTGTTTAATCATCGTTGTCTCCGAAGGATTGCTGACATCCAGTGTCAACACCATGTTAGTAATGTGAAATTTCAGCACTACGTGTTTGGGCAAAGCGACGGTAATTCAGTTAGTGTCTCTATCTTGAAGCATCACATCCGATGGTGTGGACATGTTCTGCGAATGCCGTCTCGGAGAGTTCTACGTCGTGTATTATTTGCCGACGCTGGGACTGGTTGGAATAAGTGGAGAAGTGGTCAATGTATGATATGGTGTTATAGTATAAAAGAAAGCTGTACAGGACTGGCTTTTGTTGATCCTTCAGGACTCCCTGGTCGGGATCCTAGGGATGATGCAACACAGTGGCTTGAGACGTTATCTGGTATGGCCCAGAATAGAAGCCAGTGACGATTCTGCTGAAACTTTCTTTTATTTTCTTCATATAAGTGGGAGTAACTTATTTAACTGGAATTCCTCCCGATCATATTTCTCTTAACTGAACTACTTTTTCCAGTATTATTATTATTTCACTCTCATACACTAATTTCTGTTCGTTATTGTTCTCCTTTTTCTTATGTGCACTTTACAATCTCTATCTCTTCATATTCTCATTGTTATTGTGGGACGCATATATATTTTGGTGCTGCTTTGTACCAATATTTGTTTTAAAATAAATAATAATAAATAAACTGGATTCCATTGCTAACCACCATCTATCTCTGCTTTAAATATACTTCATTTACCTGTGACCAACGTTTTGTTATTACAACTATTTAATCAAAAATTTCTATATTTGTGTGAGAGTTCTGATGCCCAGCTGTGATACCTATATTAGATAACTATGAATGGAATATTTATATCAATCATATTAGAAGGATGGAATGGCGAGAGATGAAACCAAGAGTAGCCGTTGTCACATAGTGTGTTGTCATATAACAGGTAAGCGGAAAATCAAAATCCTATCATTAGTCGTAATTAACTGTGTTGAAAATGATATGCTGCTCATTTACGACAATTATTTCATTACTCAGTGATCCAGCAGCAACACAATTTATAAAAATTTTGGAGACTAGTGAAGATGAACTCTGAAGCTATACTATCTCTTATCCTGATCAAAAACACAAAGGCAATCGTTGTATCATTTAAAAACAAATGTACGTTTTATGACCTACCTCGGTTGTAATAAAAGATAGAAAGGAAATTTATTTTTAAGGAATATTTAAAAGTACATATCGCTGGAGCAAGAAGTTAAAGACGCTTGGAGCATAAACATACCCAAAACGTTCATAAATTAAGTTTTTTCGTCATTCTCACTTTTACGCACAGGTTACAGAAAGCTAAAAACTTCGTAAAGGTCAACTTACACGAAGAGATACAAGATAACTTCCAGCAATAGCCACACCATGAGTAAAGTTATCAATTATATTGGCAGCAAGATTGAGATAACCTTCGACCTAAAAAAGTAATAATGCAAACTTTAGTCTTCCTGAATCAATCAGTTGAACTGGGGGTGAAAAAAACGCTTGGTAATAATCACATGAAACCAATTGACAGAGTAGCTAGGACAAACACCACAAATAACTTCAAGCAAGATCTCAGATAAAAGGCCATGTCATTATCTGCACGAGACCACGAACATGGTTTGATAATAGTGGAAAAATAAGCAAAATCCAGAAGATATTGGAATTCATATCAGTCATAACGCAAAGCTGGGATCAGAATATCCGAAAACCTCAGAAATAATGACATATAGCAGTGGTTATTATGGCTCAAATGACCAGTTGTTTAACCCTGTTTAGAAACATTCTAATTAATCAGAATCGATTCCTTGTGGACTGAAAATGATGGTTGACTGCGTTATACACAAGGGAAATTTAGAAAACTGTTATCTACTATATATTCCATGTGTGATAATCGACTAATTTAACTAATTAAGGTGAGCTTAATAAAATGTTAATTACTCCGAAATTAGTAGTAACAAACGCCATTAACAAAAAGCTTGAAAACAAAACAGATTTATATGCTGAATGTGTTTCCTTCTGTCTAATTTATAACCAAGCCCAACGAATAACCTTAATAGTCTAAAAAACCGTAACTACTTACCTACATACTGGATTACAAAGACCTCCACATCTGAAGGGAAGCACGGAATACGATGGAAAGCCTTCATGTAGCTAGACGACCTAACACTTCTATGCCATACATACCAACAAATGCAGGTCAAGACAACCAGTTTAGCAGAAGCCTCTGCATCAGTAGGCCTCAACATGCACAAGAGAAGAACCAAGATCTTCAAATACATCACGAAGAACACCAACCCAACAACACTTGATCGAAAAACTCTGGGAGAGGTGGAAAACTTCACATATCTGCGCAGCATCATCGGTAAACAAGGAGGATTCGATACGGACGTAAAGGTAAGGTTTGACAAAGGACAGCATCCCTAAAGTTGAACGACATATATAACTTAAAACAACTTTCAACCAATATCAAAGTCAGAATTTTCAATACGAACGTCAAGAAAGTTCTATTGTACGGAGCTGAGACTTGGAGAACTACCACAACCATCATCAAAAAGGTACAAGTATTTATAAACAGTTGTCTACGCAAGATACTCAATATCCGTTGACCGAATACTATGAGCAACAACTTACTGTGGGAGAGGAAAAACCAACTACCAAATGAAGAGGAAATTAGGGAAAGGTTATGGAAGTGGATAGTACATACACTACAGAAATCATCAAACTACATGACAGTACGAGCACTAACTTGGAATCTTAAAGGGAAACATAAAAGAAGGAAGGCCGGAGAACACACTACGTCGGGAATCGTAAGCAGACACGAAGAGGATGAATAGTAACTGAAAGGAACCTGAAGGATTGCACAGAACAGAGCTGGGTGAAGAATGCTAGTGTGCAGCCTATGCTCCTCCACGAGGAGTAACAGGCGTAAGTAAGGACAGTATCATACTTATTTTGACTAGCTCTTCATAAGGTCATCTTGTTTAAATATTACAAAGTTCACACGCTAGCTTTGATTTAGGAGTCTTGGAACGCGACTGTTACGCCCTAATGGTAATCAATCAAAACGCATTTGACGGGTAGGTTCTACTTCGTATCATTCATTGTTTTATTTGCGTGACATGAAAGCCGATCACTGGTTTGTATTTCTTTTATATAATTTCGCTTATATGGGGATAGTTTGTCGGTAAATCTGCTCTTAATATAGTCTCTGACGGTGTTCAGAGGAAGATCTTGGTAACACATAATGTTAGAAAGTAACAACTGATAAAGAACAATAGTTAGATTGATTTTCTTAATGGTACGAGTAATTCTGTGGATCATTTTTTACTGGTGTTCAATTATAATTTATATGTAGAACTGTTTGACTAATAGGGAGATAGTAGTTTATAATGGATAAAGAAAAACTAAATAGCGTTACGTCATCACACATCATAGTCAAACGTCTGAGGTTGTATCAGTCTTTTACAACCACAGATAACATGAAACGAAGACAGGTTCTAATCAGTAAGTCCCCTCAATTATTACATTTATTTTGACAGCTTTGTAATAATGAAGTCGAATTTAAAACTATAGACAAGGGACTGAGCAAACTTGAATACGGTTTATGTATTCAAATACTGTCGGTTTTGAAGTTATGACTAGAAGGGATGTACGTTCACATGAAAATCTTTCTGTTGATACAAACACATCTAAACATTGTCTCGATCAAAATGTAAGGGTCTGTTTTTTGACGAAGTCCGATTTTTGGCACTGATCTTTGGTTTAAGAGTATGACCTCCACCAACATCTAACGACATGCTAATAAAGTGAAGTTGGTACCAATGTAAAATATCTTAAAAATCGTGATAGACCAGCGGTTAAAACCACATGGAAAGCCGTTACAAGCAAGAGGCCGATGTCGAAACTAACCCCAGAACGAGTCATTATCCACAACTGTACTATAGTAACAAGATTTTCATTTTGGAGACAAAAGTAAGACAAAGAAGTAAATAGGTTTACATTGTTAAAATGAAGTACTTCACCATATGTGTAGTGAAAGACGTACCTCTTTTTCAGTAGAATCAATAATACATAACTTCTCGATAATAAAAAACAACAGAAGTCCACTGAGTATCCAAAATCCAGGAATCTGAAATGTGTCGATGTCACCTACGAATTATAAATAGCCAACAATATTGTTGGTTTGTGTCGTTAACATTTAGCCACATTTACTGTTAATCCAGGATTCTGGCAGGAGATGGATGAAAACTTCACCAAGAAGACTTCCAGTAGCATAACTAAGCCACCTATTGAGAGAAATGACATCTGGTTTTGGAAGAAATGACGGTAATACACAGTTACCTTTTCTAGAACAAATGCTATCTAGTGGGAGAAATAGAAGCGGGACTACACCACTAAGTCCAACAACGAATGCAGAAAAAATGCACAAAAGCCCTCTCCCCCAGCTAAGAGAGCCAGGGGATAAAAGGATCTCTAACATCGTCCTAATTAATTACGAAAACACCGTCACATTTAAAAGTGTTTCTAGTTGGAAGAGTACCGCATCCTGGTTCACTGAAACAAACTAATGAACCTTAGTCATTCCATGTCAAGGATTAGGAGTTGTGGTAATGAAGCTTTGAAATTTTTTCCTGCATCCGCAAAAAGTTGACTTTGGGCTTCATGTGGAAAATTAAACTATGCTTGAAGGATAAATAAATGTGTAGCCTGTATATGTTTTTATTTACGATCACGTATTCTCAGGAAAACATCATAAGACCCAAGGTTTCGATTTCATTTACTAAAAGACCCTTACAAAGTTTGTCTGGATGGCTAGCAAGTTTAATCAGTGAATGCCTCTGCCTCTTCAACTGACATTGACTTGACATTGTATGAAATATTCCGATGTCAGTTATATTGACTGCTCTGCATTTCGATTTTATGATACGGCACTCGTTAACTAAGCGTGCCTTCATTTTTCATATGCCATCACAGGTTTACGTATTAGCATTTTAGGAGATACTTGCCCATAATTCCTTGAGGGTTACTGTAATTCAGTGCGCAAATTTAAGTAACATTTGTTAAGTTCACCAGCGCCCAATCAGCGACCGAGGACGATCTAAGTTATCTCCCTGAGTATATCTCCGATTTAGTGATCTTATCATCCTTCGTACAGACGTGAATGGTTTCCAAGTACTATCGAAAACTTCTGTATGAACGACTATTTATCTTTCATTTGGCAATGCAAAATCAATTGTTGGGCTTCAAACATAAATACATAGGAATGCAGGTTTATTGTGTAGTCGAATTGGGATTACCAATTGTAGCGTGGCGTCGAGTTGAGATTAACTATGAACACCGCTACCAAGATATACGTGCCAAATAGATCAGAAGGCGTAAGAAGCTCGTTCCAAATGACTCCATAAAATCCCCGAGAAGCCAAATATCAGAAGACAGTTAATGGACCAAGTCGAGGTTTATTAGCTGGCGATCTCGTGGCATCGAAAGGATACCGAGATCGTGCCAGGATACAACCTTGGTTACAGAAGGTAACCGAATTCGCGCGAAGTTACAATCGAAGTGTAAGTAAAGAATGGAAGCACAAAATAGCTGTCATTAGCACAGTCAAACAAAAGCACGTTAAAACAGTCACTGGTACAGTTGGTTATAATAATAATTGTTTTTATTAAACCAGTCGTGTTCTCGTGATAAACGTGAGTCACTACAGGAGCCCCCCGCTAGAAAGGGTTAACACTTTCGATAAATGGCGGTTTAAATCGTGGGACTGATCGGCTGACGAGCGATTGTAGGACGGAAGAATTGGCGAACAGGAAAGCGATCGTTGATCGTCGAGTTGCCAACGAAGGTCGTTTCCGGAGAACAGTACCAGGAGCGATGTGCTGTATGTATTGCTTGAGTTGGCATGCTACACGAGAGTGGTTTGTATCCAGAATCTGAAGAGGGCGTTCGTAGGGTCCGGACCATAAACGCTGCAGACGAAGGACGAAACCACGTTGAGCCAAAAGACCAGAAGCGACCGTAACGACCAAGTTCGAGACCAAGCGTATGCCAAGCATTCGAAACCAATATATCGACTGAGTACGTTGACAAGAGCGTGGGTGATCAGGCCAGCTTTCGCCAAAGTTGACTGAAGTCGACGGAACCAAACGGAGATGGTCGAAGGCGTGGGCTCAGGAAACAAAAAGAAAATCAAAAAAGAAGAGTGTAGCATACGCGTAGTATAGGAATAATCCTACACCGTATCGGTAGCTGACTGTGCGACTATTCGCGGAAGCGTACGGGTAACCGTACTCGGCGACCGGAACGTGAGACGGCAGTCTCGTTCGCGTCGCGTGAGCCTGCAATCTCATCCGAGGTCAGAGGCGGCGTGGTCTGCTGATCTGGACGTGAGACTATCGTCTCGTCCGTAGACGGTGCAGATGACGCGTGCTGTTGACCGGGACGTGAGAATGAGGTCTCAGATGCATCTAGCGTGGGACCTGAAGATTTAAGGATCCCGCTAGGTTTAATAGGTCTAGCATTGAATCTCAGGTTACCAGATAGGGCACTGTCATCGACGTGTGCTGGTTTGAGACGATCAACGCTGACGATCTCGACGCGTACATGTCGATCAACCTTGAAGGTCTTTTCGTGACGAGCGATCACGTGAAAAGGGCCTTCGTAAGGTTGTTGCCAAGGTTTGCGTACCGAATCTACTCGTACAAAAACATGTGAACAGGTAGATAACTCTCGAGGGAGAGCGACCTGTCGATGTTGTATTCGAGTTGACACCGGAGACAGCGTTCACATAAATGCAGACAGTCGACGGACGTTGTCTGATTTACCGAAACTAGGTCTGCTCCGTGGTGTGAAGGATTCTCCGGGCAGACGCAATGTCGTGCCGTATACAAGTTCAGTGGCGGAACATTGGATATCTGCCTTTAAGCTCGTTCTCACCCCTAAAAGAACGAGCGGTAAGGTTTCGTGCCAGTTGCCGTTTTCGTGTGCTCGTAGAACACTTTTAAGTTGGCAGTGAAACCGTTCAACTTAACCATTTGGTGCTGGGTGGTAGACGGATATGCTTATGCGTATGCATTCCGTACCAAGCAGCCGGGTCAGCGAGGAGAATCGTTAATAGGGTAACATTTCTCGAATAAAGCGTGGAATTCATCATCACGCGAATAAAAAGTGACAAGGATTCGGTACACATACGTGTGAGTCTATTATATTAATACTATTCTTATCGTTATCCGTCATGTCGCGTATATTATATATTAAATAATACGAAAATATACGACAGACGTGGATAGATAAACCATAGACTCACCGAATTGGCTTCTTTGGAAGATTTGACCAGAAGCTGAGGCGTGTTCCAAAATACGGGTCACCAATTGTTGTCGAATTGGGATTACCAATTGTAACGTGGCGTCGAGTTGAGATTAACTATGAACACCGCTACCAAGATATACGTGCCAAATAGATCAGAAGGCGTAAGAAGCTCGTTCCAAATGACTCCATAAAATCCCCGAGAAGCCAAATATCAGAAGACAGTTAATGGACCAAGTCGAGGTTTATTAGCTGGCGATCTCGTGGCATCGAAAGGATACCGAGATCGTGCCAGGATACAACCTTGGTTACAGAAGGTAACCGAATTCGCGCGAAGTTACAATCGAAGTGTAAGTAAAGAATGGAAGCACAAAATAGCTGTCATTAGCACAGTCAAACAAAAGCACGTTAAAACAGTCACTGGTACAGTTGGTTATAATAATAATTGTTTTTATTAAACCAGTCGTGTTCTCGTGATAAACGTGAGTCACTACAATTGAAAACATCAATAAGCTTTTATACCAGCTGGTATTTTGGTGCCAAGGTGTGAACCATATATATCATAGCCACTTTCTTGAATAAGATCGCGAATTTTAGAAGAGGCACAAGCCTTGTGGTGTATCGGCTCACTGTATTAGTGTAGTTACTGTTTATAAAGTTCAGCACATTTTACCTATCATCTCATGCAGTGATATTGTGGGACTATAATTTAGTAGGAAATCGTCAAAATAGCTTTGTTCGATCGTCATACTTACTCCTCATACTCATACATAGGATCGTTAAAAGTCACATTGGTCAGGAAAACTAATTTGGGAGGAAAACGAGACAGAATATCCTAACAGACTATTTTCAGTCTCCGTTGAAAGTGATTTCTTACAAAAGTGGTGTTACAGGGGAACTGAAGACTGAAGGTTAAAACCTTTTTATTGCATATTATTAATTTACTGTGTTTTTGGATGTATTTGTTTTACTTAACTTTTGAACTTCTTTGTTTATATCATAATTTCGGACATTTTGGTTTCCCTTTGTCGTTGGTTTGGTATTTGGTAGTTTTGCTCTGGGAACCTACAAAATTGAAGGTTTATTTTGTAACTGTTATAATTATTGTTGTTAGAACGACATTTGGTCGACTATTTGTGAATTGCGAATAAATTTGGTATCTAAATTGGAGTTCGGTTCTATTGTTAATTCGGGTTCGTAATTTGCAAGTAGATCGATAGTTCGTACTTCAATAACTGGAACGGGCAAAACTTGGACGTAACAAGTGATGCTTTCACTTAAAAAGATGTGGTCTGATATGACGGAAATAAAAGTCAACTTTCGATTGATTTACTCATTATGAGTTTTGTTCAAGATTACTTCCGTTTTGATTCAATGTAATGATTACTCAATGTAGTATCTGTTTTCTTTTCTCGTATGATATTTTATTCTGTAGAATATACGATATTCTTGTATTCGATTGACTTGAACAATGCTCAGTCTGTGATTTGTTATAACTCCAAGTATTTTTCATATATGTGAATATATTCTATTGGTTAATCAAAATGGGTGTGCAATCAATATATAAATGAGAGTATTTTCTACTAGAATCGTCGTCGTCGTGTTTTGGGGTTAATAGGTCATCACTTATACCAGTCTTTGTGTTCTTACTTTCGCATCGTGGGAATTGCATATTTCCCTCGTTCCGAGTATAAGTGATAAACGTTCCGACATAACAATCAGCGACGACCAGTTACAAAAAGTAGCATTAAAAGAACCAAGACAACAAGCATTCAAACGACAAGTTATAACATGATCTAGTTTCGGTTTTGTTAGAACTAAATTTCAATATTCTGGGCGACGGAGAGACAACTCAACATGCGAACCCGTTCAAATTTCACGGATAGAGTGTTCAAGGTAGCGTTCCATCGTTTTAGTTATGATACACTTCATTATAAATAAATAGAAAAATGCATCTGAATAACCATATTAAGTTTCTAGAACTTTTTCGTAGTTTTCAAAGTAGAAACAACGAAATTCGTTCGGTCCTTATCATCAGAACGTCAACTATCTATGAAGAATCTGCTTGACACGCTTACTGTAGATTATATGTATGCTAAGTGGTATCGGGTCGAACAGACATAAGATTACTCAATTTTTTATTACGCATTATTGTGCATTCATACATATGATTACTTGTGAATTTGTTTGTGCATGTTTTCAAGTGAGTGTACCTATTCCTTTATCTGTTTAACTATCTTACCTTATTTC